CACTGGCAAAAGATGAACTAGAGTCCTTGTGCTGCTTCTGCCTACTCAGCTCTAGCTTGGACTGGCTCCTTTGGAGATCTGATGCATCTAGTTTGCATAACAAACTGGTCAAGCCCAGATGAAAGTACTGCCTTAATGATATAGCGCAGTCCTTAGCCTGAATGAAGTTACATCACTTCAAATATACTGTGCCTTTTTTATTCAGGGATAATAATACCATGCATGGACTTAATGTTGTAAAATATATAAATGTTTGTGTATTGTGCTGATCTATTTTTGGATTCAGATACAACAAAAATTCTACAAAAACTGTAAGCGAGCCCTCAAAGGGTAGTTGGATTTGCCTCTGTTCGTGATTATCCTTTTTATATTACCTAGTATCTAAGGGAAGGCAACTTGCTTCTATATCTCTGTCTCTAAATTAACACACAGAGTTCTCATTTGCATGTACTTTTTAAAAGACAGTTTTATCTCTGAAGGGTTTTAACCATATTTTTCAGTGCTAGTGATTAAGAAAATATTTTTTTTTTTTAATAAGGGTATTTAGCCTGACACCACCAAGCTGTTTCTTGCAAGTTAGACTTTATGGCTTTCAAGAAAAAGGCTGATTAATTTGATAACTCTTCTTTCCTTGCTACAACAGAATGTTATGCCTTAATAGTTTGTGAGTTTCATCGGTAACACCAAAATGAGAGAGTTGGTGTCACTTTTGGACAGACTGTGAAGTATATAGGGAGAAAGATGTGGAAATTATGGGATGTAGGGAAAACAGGCCTGCAGTGGGACTTCTGGGCCAGGTAACTATTGATTTCACGCTGTTTCGTAAGAAAAGGTAAATGTCACAGAACTGTGAAAAGAGCCAGCTTCCACAAAATCCCTAAGATATTTGCAATCATAACCATTTTAAGGTGACATCCTTGGCTCCAGTGAAGCCAATAGTGAACTTCCCACCACAGGTCATTTCTCATCCTGTGCCTCCATTTGGGCTCAGCTTACTTCGTTAGGCATTGTATGTCTCTTTCCTCCTATCTTCTATCTCAGGACATGTTAACAGTGAAATAGGAACAGTGTATATAGTTTTGATCAGTAAGCTCTAGCAGAACTGATATTTCCCCAGTTTTAACTGTTTTATTGAGTGAATTTAATGTGTTTTGATCTCAATTGTTTTGTCTGCATCTATATCTGACATATTCCATCTGTTCTTAAAAATAAGATGACTTCTAGGTCTGAGTCAAAAGTTCTAGTTACTTATTTGGCTTTGAATAAAGAAACACGGGGGGTTGGTTTGCTTAGAAAAATTGCATTTGGGAACTTAATAAACTTCCAGACAACCCAGCTAAAGGACAGGAATACCACCCTCCACAGAATATTTAAGTATATGTGTATTTTTAAGTGCCTATGAATGCTTACATTAGTATGTATCAGAAAAACAAAAGCTTTCAATGATTAAATACCTCTTTCCCTGTCTTTGCTGTGCATTTTCCTTCTTCCATGCAGCAGCACTTTGCACATCTATTCATACCTAAGTACATGATGTTCACTTGTGCTAAATGAATAGGGATGTGTATTTGCCTCACTCTAAAACCTTTAACTGAAATTTTATCTTTCCTTCACATGCCCAGTGAATCCACCTTCATTCAGGTGTGATTGTGTTGTTTGTCACCTCTTCCACAGGCCTCTCTGATGTCTTTACCTAGAACATCATGTGAATAGGCATCCACCTCTGTTATGCTACTCCATTTAGAGGATTTTCCCTCTGTGCTTTCTCACGTTCTCTGCTGAGCTGTTCTTTTGATATGTAACTTAATGTCACTTGAGAGAAAAGTATGTGTGGTGGTTTGACCCTGGCTGGATGCCATGTGCCCACCAAAGCCACTCTATCACTCCCCTACTCAGCCGGACAGGGGAGAGAAAAAATAACAAAAGGCTTATGGGTCAAGATAAGGACAGGGAGAGATCATTCACCAATTACCATCATGAGCAAAACAGACTCAATTTGGGGGAAAATTAATTTATTACCCATCAAATCAGAGTAGGATAATAAGCAATAAAAACAAATCTTAAAACACCTTCCCCCTACCCCTCCCTTCTTCCCACGCACAACCCCACTCCCAATTTTCTCTCCCTCCTCCCCACCAGTGGTGCAGGGGGACAGGGAATGGGGGTTGCAGTCAGGTCATCATATGTTGTCTCTGCTACTTCTTCCTCCTCAGGGGAAGGACCCCTCACTCTTCCCCTGCACCACTGTGGGGTCCCTCCCATGAGAGACAGTCCTCCACAAACTTCTCCAGCATGAGTTCTTCCCATGGGCTGCAGTTCTTCACAAACTGCTGCACCGTGGGTCTCTTCTCCGGGCTGCAGTCCTTCAGGCACAGACTGTTCCAGCGTGGGTCCACTGCGGGGTCACGAGTCCTGCCAGAAAACCTGCTCCAGCGTGGGCTCCTCTCTCCATGGGGCCACAGGTCCTGCCAGGAGCCTGCTCCTGCGTGGGCTTCCCACGGGGTCACAGCCTCCTTCGGGCATCCCCCTGCTGTGACGTGGGGTCCTCCCCGGGCTGCAGGTGGAGATCTGCTCCCCAGTGGACCTCCCTGGACTGCAGGGGGACAGCCTGCCTCACCACGGTCTTCCCCACGGGCTGCAGGGGAATCTCTGCTCCGGCGCCTGGAGCATCTCCTCCCCCTCCTTCTGCACTGACCTGGGGGTCTGCGGGGCTGGTGCTCTCACATGTTCTGACTCCTCTCTCCAGCTGTGGTTTCTGTTCCACAGTAACTTTTTTCCCTGTCTTAAATCTGTTCTCCCAGAGGCACTACCACCATCACTGATGGGCTCGGCCTTGGCCAGCGGCGGGTCTGTCTTGGAGCCGGCTGGCATTGGCTGTATTGGACATAGGGGAACCTTCTGTCATCTTCTCACAGAAGCCACCCCTATAGCCCCCCCCCTCACTACCAAAACCTTGCCATGCAAGCCCCATACAGCAGGAAGCCCCCAGCTGCTACTAATCATTAATTGTGAACCAGTACTGGGAAAAAATGATCTCTGATGGTTACAATTCAAGAGTACTATAAATATTTGGAAGGCATCCTTATGTAGGTCATTTTGGGGGCTGATCTGCATACAGCTGTGTCTGGAGAAAAATAGTATTGGTGCTAAAGAAGGAGACAAGCAAGAGCACCAAATGCTGTCACATCCCTGTAGCTAAAACAGCTGATATTTGTGAAGATCTAGCTGTTTAACAGACACATTAGAATATTCAAAATACAGCCACAGTTTAGTAAGATCTCTAGGAAGGATTTGGGAAAAATTTGGTCCCCGATCAATGAGGCAGGAAAACAAGTGACAAAGAACATAGAAAAGCGGAGGTACTTAGTGGCTCTTTGCCATGGCTTTTATGGGTAAGGTTTGTCCTCTAAGTCTCTCGGGTCCCTGAGCTGAGCGTCAGAGTATGTGGGAGTGAAGCATGACCTGTAGTAGAGTAAGACAGAAAGCACTTAAACCAGTTGGATATGCAGAAGCTCATGGGACTAGATGGGGTGGATCAAAGGGTGCTGAGAGACCTGGCTGATGCTACTGGAAAGTCACTCTATCATCTTCAAAAGGTTATTGGGAAATTCCCTAGTGACCAGAAAGGGCCAGCACTGCACCTGCCTTCAAGAAAGGGGATCCACAAGAGAACTACAAGGCAGTTAGACTAATGTGGCTAGTCCCCTCCCTGGGAAGGTTACAGAGCAAATCCTCCTGGAAGCCATGACCAAGTAGATGAAGGACAGGAAGGTTATTGGAAACAGACAGCATGTGTTTACCCCAGGCAAATCACATTCCACCAGGCTTTCAGCATGATCAACTATGATATCCTTATAGCCAAATTAGTGAGACCTGTACAGTGGGTGAAAACTAGACCGAACTGTCAGGCTCAGATGGGTTACGGTTAGTTGTTTCAAGTCCAACTGGCGGCCTGATACTAGTTGTACCTTTCTGACTAGCAATATTCTATGTCTCTGTGAATGATGTGGGCAAAGGCATGGAATGCACACTCAGTAAGCCTGTGAATGATGCCAGCTTAGAGAACGGTAGATACGCTGAAAGGCAGGGCTGCTCCTTGCAGGGCCCCTGACAGGCAGGAGGATGGGCTGGCAGGAACCTCGTGAAGCTGAACAAAGGCGAGTGCGGAGTCCTGTGTCTGGGAAGGAATAACTCCATGCGCCAGGACAGGCTGGCCCAACAGCAGCGGTGCAGAAAAAGTCGTGGTGGATGAGAAGGTGAGCATGTTTCAGCAGCATGCCGTTGTGATGAAGAATTCCAGCGGCAGACTGGGCTGTGCTACCTCAAGTGCAGCCGGCAGGTTAAAGAAGGCGATTCTTCTCAACATCTTCAGCAGTTGTGAGACCGTGTCCAGTTTGGGGCTCACCGATCCTGGAACGACGTTGACATACCGGAGCCGCTGGTCACGAGGGTGGCCAAACGCTGGGCCGGAGGCCCAGAAGGGCTGTGAAATCTCCAACCCTAGAGACAGACGTTCGGAGCTCGGCCGCTCGTGGCCCTGAGCAGCCTGACCTCGTCGGCTCTGCTCTGCGGGGCTCGCTCGCACGGGCGTCCTCCGGACGTGCCTGCCGGCCTCCCTTGCCCCCTGCGCGGGGCCAGCCGGGCTCCGTCAAGCTTCGGCCGCTTGCCGGAGCACACCCTCAGTCGCAGAGGGCAGGATACCGGGAGGCAGCACGGCCGGGGGTGGGCGCCGGACCCCGCCGCGGCCGGGACCCGCCCGCTCTCTCGAGAAGCGCCGGCGGGTGGTGGGGCGGTGCGGGCGGCAGCCGACCGGGCGGGTGTGTGGGGTCTGTGTGCGCGGTGCCTTTAAAGGGCGGGGCGCGGGGCGGGGCGCGGGGC